CACAATTCTACGTCGCTTTCCAGTCTGCATTTATCTTCCAAAGAAACACACATGTGAGGCACCACAGCACTAAGCGGCCTACTTGCACACACTGATACCATTTACACCTACAGCAGTCAAGTGGTGCAGGCCAATGTAACATGAGCCACATCTGTTTGGAAAAGAAAGGATAGCAATCAGATCAGTCTCGCCGATCTGTCATCTGGTCTGGGACGGCTTGGATAGTTAAACCCTTCCTGGTTGTGCATGGGAGCCTCGCAGATTGCCAAGCACAAAGGAGGTCTTGTGAGCCGCTCATACAGTCAAAGCATATCCCCCTCCTTTAATTAGAGAAGGAAAATCTGCTGACTCATGCAAGAAACTGATGACAGATGGACAAGGATATCCTTTATGTCACTGCTCAGAGCTTTGCTGCTTTCTTAGGAAGGTTTTCAATTGAAGGAAAGAATATTTAGACAACGGCAAGTGGATACTAACTTAAAACAATGCTACTAGCTTGGTCTGGATAAATGGTACAATCATGCAACAGTGTTAGTTCGACGTTTTGGGGACAGGTGGCGAAACTTCAGTTCCAGAGGTCAAATATTCTTTGTGGACATGACATACAAAGACAAAGATGTTGCACTGACTGTAAACAGCAGTTATATAACGTGGTTAATGATTTTCCACCATAGGAGGCACTGCTTGCCTTATCAAACACAGCAAAGGTTCCTGTGAGAAACTCAATTTGAATAAGTACAACACACCAGTGAAATACTGAAAACAGAAAGCTTAAGCAGTAAAGCTGTTCAACAGGCTTTCCAGCATATAATTAATCAAACTCCCTTTAAATAAAGGTCATCACTGATAAAACAGATTACCTTCATCTGTTTTTCTGTTTGTCCTGGTAACTTGTTGTGACATTCAGATTTAATCGAGATGAAGTCCACAGTCATGAACAAATATCAACTCCCAAAAATCATATTATCCATAAGGAGACTAATTCAATTTGTTTTAAATACATTGTTCTTTTAGATTAGTATTTTTCTTGCTCGATCCCTGTATTTGGACTTTTTTTTATCAAATTTTGCCTTCCTTATGGAGTGTTCTGCCTTAAAGCAGTTGAACTCTCGTTATCACAAATCTTACAAAATTATTTCCACCAAATTTGAATGAAAGCATATAGACATGTTAATGCTTTCAAGTAAGATACTTTTAAGCGACAGCATTGTTTCCTGCAGACATGCAGTACCACCCACGTCTTCAGAAAAACATTATGAAAATAACTGGGAGAGAGAGAGTTACAAATCCATAGATATGAACAAAACTGAATAAGAATTAAAAGTTAAAACTGGAGAAATAAACAGATACAGATCTACAGTGTCACTGTGCATTTCTGCTTCACTTGCCTTGATTTTTTGGTTGCTAGAAACCCAAACCAAATACAACCAACAGAACTGAGGGGAAAACTGATAACTGGAATGCACATAATGTACTGAATACTGAGGAGGAATGGTTAAGAAACACAAAATATTAACTCACAGCCCTAACTGCAATATAAAGGGCCTCTGATAGGTGGGTATCCTGTGTTCCAGGTGCTATGCAATAAAACTGCTGACAAAAAATACATCTGTCTACCCTTTATGCCATTTATAGGGTCAGTATTAAATATGAGTTAGTTTCCATTTAAATTTCTATTGTATTTGTCGCTGCCTTCTTAGTTCAAAAACAAAACAATTTACAGAAAAGGCAACATGTGGCTCGGTTCTTGCAAGCAAGCACTTCCGACTTGATTCTTTGAAAAAAAAATATAAAAATACTTAATTTCTTGCAAAAACATAGACAAAACAATTACTAAAAGCCTCTTACTACTTAGTTGAATACGGGGGTTAACTTAGTTACATTATTATTAAGTAACACTATTGGAATGTTATACTTTTCTCAACTTCTTCAGCCTTTCTTAGATGAGTAAGGGGTGTGTGCTGCAGCTGTATGAGAAGCAAATTGAGGAGCTGAGGGAAATTTTACCAAATTGATGCAGAACAAAAAGAGAAAGGATGCGAGGGGACTAGAGAAAAAGAAGAGCAATATCAGTCCATAGCAAACAGTAATCCACTTCGCATACAGAACTAACAAAATGACACAAGACAGTTTGACAGATCACGACATCACCACACAGAAGAAAATCCATTTTGGTTCAAGGTTCATTGGAGTCAACTCTGGTTCAAATCACATAACGCTGAAGCCCTTGCAACTGAAAAACAACTTGAATGTTTCAGATCTCTCAGAAATCTCTTCTCCACTATAACATTTACCAACAGCAGATTGTTGGCACAATCTTTGACCCTTTTGTGATGCAACTGACCCAAATACACACAAAGAAAATGTTTTAGTCTTTTTCTTCAGAGCGCTTTTGAACAACTATATGCTTATAAAATTGTGCAGTGGAAACCCACACTTCCTTACCACACTGTGTTTTACAATCAGTGCACATTTTTCTAGTGGAAAAAAAGGCACACATAGACCACAGGATAGTATCTTTAAGGCTGTGTTGCTCTCCCTCTGGGCATCTAACAGACAGATGCACATGCAGCAGGCTGGAAGCAATAGGTCAAGCTGCCTCAATACACAAGCAGGAACTGCACAATAATAACTACCCCCAGTTAGACGTGTCTTGCTGTGATGGGCAACAGTTTACCCTCACATCATGCAGCAAAAACAAAAAAAGTTAAAAGTTCCAAGCAAAACCCAGCTCTGAGCAGGCCATCTATTGAAGACAACATTCGTAGATGTCACTAAAATTGACTGATACTTCGAAACGCATGCAACACCAGAAAATAAGATTAAAGCTTTTGGTCCAAATGACACAAACTGCACAAAAAACACATTCTGTAACATGCTGTCAGCCACTGGCAAGGAAATTTCCAGATACCCATGGTATGTCTTAAATCATAAATCACTGCGGTGAATTGCTTCGACACAATTATTGCTTTAATAATGGAGTAAGCGGTCTAAGCTGTAACCCTTTAAGTACGACCCACTGTGGATTTGGCAATGTTGAACAAATGAGGGCAGGATGACTGTCAGAGCAGCTTCATGTCAAAGCTTATTTACTCCAGGCTGCCATGGAGGGAGGAGCAGCAGCAGTAGCACTTCTCTGCTTCACTCACATCATAAACAGTTTGTAAATTATAATGCTGTGCTATTTGCAACAACGCAACCAAAAAACATATTCCCTAAGGATTTCACAGCTATTATGTGTGACTGCCTCTGGGCCAGGAAGAGCAATGAATTGCAAGAGATACAATTCATTTAGATGCAATGCTACAAATTAGGATGAAGCAAGAGAATGAGGATTTGCAAGTGCACTAGAATAAATAAACTAAAAACAAGACGTTACAACCAAAAATGTATGATGATGTAGTATCAGTAACATCTGGAAGTCTGTCATGGGATTCACAGAGCAGATTGCTACAAAAAATAATTTCAACAGGAATATGTGAAATGGTTATGCTTCTTGGCAGCAGAACAGCAACTAAGTAAAAACTTATACCTCACTCCTACCCGACAGAAAACATCAATGAGCTCCTTTCATAAGGAAATCCTTCTCTCTCCTTATGAAAGAGAAGGATGTTGGCTTCTCTTTCATACTTTCATTTGATACATTTTTGTCCTAAGAATACAAAATAATACAGAAATATTAAGCTTAATGGCATGCTAATATCAGCAGTTTGCATTAAGACGGTAACCTTCCTTTGTAGCCATTCCCCAGGAATGTTTTGTGACAATAAGTAGTTTTAGCTACTATTTTTTCCTCTGTGTCTGAGTCAAATGAAGATAAGTGATTGTTTTAGGTGCAATCCAAAAGTAGATCAGTATTTTCTTTTGTCTTACATTTCCAATGTCTTTGGCATTAGCTTAATGTGTCTGCTGATTGAAATTAACTGTAAAAGTTTAAGTGACTGCACAGATGTCTTCAGAAAATTGTTCTGTCTGTGACATTACTGTAGTGCAGTTAGACACTCACCAGTGAAACAGACTTGTTATGTGGAAAAAAGTGAGTCTTACATAGCTACTCCATGGCTCTTAACATAAAGCAGCCTATTCTGATTTAAAGAGTTATGCTTGTGCATGTCTCTGCACATTCTTGTAACAATGTTCAGCTGAAATAGAGAAGTAGTTGAATGCTACAAAATCGAAGTGCAACAAATTATAGTTTTTATTGTAACTTGCAAGTTTTGTTACTTGCAACTTTGTGATTCACAGGAATGACTGGCTTGTCACAAAGCACTTTTAAATCCCTCCATATGGTGCCAATTTATTAGATCTCAAACAAATTGTATAAATCTCTTAAATTTGAGCTTTAGACTTTGTGATCACTCATGTCCTCTTGGCTGGACATTGTGTTATGCAATGATGCCAGATATCAGCACTCCAGACATAACATCATCATTAATTGGGAACTTTAGGCCACATTCTGGGAAGTTTTTAGTGCTGTTTTTTTATTACCATTTCTTGATTATGGCCATGGAAGGGAAAATTACCTACCATGTGCTACCTCCTTGAAGACATTTGAAGAAGAAGAGTTTTCAAAAGTTATGTAAAAACAGATAGATTGATTTTTTATTTTTATTTTTTTTCTTTGTTGTTTTAAGTAGGACCTAGATCAAGGGTGGGCAATGCTGGTCCTCAAAGGCAGGTGTCCTGCATCTCCTAGATGTCGGTCCAACACACTTGAATGAAACAGCTGAATCACCTCCTAAGTGCAGTCAAGTTTTCCAGAGTCCTGTTAATAACCTCATTATTTGACGGGTGTATTGAAGTAGAGATACATCTAAAAATTGCAGGAGACTGACCCTCAAACCCTGGAGTTGCCCACCCTCGACCGAGATTATAAGCAATATATGAAACATATGCTTCCTAAATCCTAGGTGGCTTTTGATTTACAAGATTTGGTCCCCATCAAAACTTTCTGGAGGCGTCCCTGGATTCATGCCGGTGACTTTTACGTCAGGACTTACCTTGTCGAACAGTTTTTAACCTGACAGGTCCTTTGCAGCAGTTGACTACAGTGTAGATGTCATAAAGAGGTAATCCAGACACTGACAGCCCCTCAACTTCAAGAAGCAGTTCTCCCTCAGACAGTTTCCCGTCCTGATAAACCACAGCATCCTCTCTGATCTGTCCAATGTATGCAAACTCTCCATTCTCCGCTCCACCGTGCAGCTCCACATTCAGCTCCCCATTCTCGTCCCGGATGACCGCGCACTCGTTCACTTTTGTTATCCAGTGGTTCTTCTTCTGAATGACTTTTGACATGGTGGTTAGGCTCCAAAGAAAACCGGTAAATCCCGAGGAGTGGAAAGAGAATGAGTCGATTCATAGCACGGAGGACATCCCACGCAAAAAAACTTCATGTCCTTTGAGTCCAACTTCGAACATGTTTACTCTTAAACTTGGACATGCTGCTCCTCGCTCACGAATACAACCCTCATGGATCAAAATCCAGACTTCGACAGCTTCTGTAGTTTCCGCATCTTTAGCAGCAGCACACGCTCTTATTCCTCGTAATTGGATCTAATCCCTCCCCGTAGAATTATTTCTAGATTTATCTCACAGTTCCGCCTCTTTCATTAGTATAACACAATGTTTGTTTTCCTTTTAAAACTTTCTGTTTTAGGGGGAGATGAGGAAAGAACCTCTATCACTAAGCTTCTGTGTATGACAGCCAGCGGCGCCTTTAAGCAGGTAACGCTTCAAGTGCCCTCAGTGCGGTGGGGATGGAGAAACAAGGAGGGGGAAGGCGCATGCGTCACGCTAAGACTCCACGAGGAAAACTCCAAGCCAACCCCAAACCTGCCGGGTCCTGAAGCTCCTCCCGCCGGCCAGCGCTCGTTTCAGGGCGGATTACTGCGATCCGTGCGTTTAATCCTACGGGAACTCCGGCAGGCTGTTGTCCTGATCCGCAAAATATGGAAACGCGGACACCAAGCGCCTTCCTCCGTGCGCGCGAGCTGCTGCTTTATGGAGGTTGCTAAGGTGCAAACTCCAAACCCGCCCATTTAGTCCAGCACCGTCATGAAGTGAGTCATAAACAACAATTACTTTTCATCCGGGAAAGATAAGCTTCAGAGAACATCCAGGGGATCCCGGGGTGGAACTCTAAATTATGAATATTTTTAAGATAATTTCTAAATTGGGTTTAAAAAAAAAATCTGAACAATTATTTTTGGTTTAGTCATTTAGAAATTTTAACTGTTTTTTTTTTTTTTTTTTTTTTTTTTTTTTTTGGGTTTTTTTTTTAAAGGAAAATTTTTAAAAAAAATTAAAATTTTTTAAAATTAAATTTTT